AAAAAAAAAAAGAATTAAAATATTTAATTTATACAAATATAAAACAATAATAAGAAGATTATTGTGAGTATTAGGTTAGAGCAGCACGTGTCAAAGCTTATTTTTATATATAAAAAAAAAAACAATCACAAGCTCGTATTTTTTTTCTCTTGCTTTTTTTTTCTTTTAAAGATTTGACTGCGGTGAAACAATAACATCAGCATGACCAGTCGTAAAACATCGACGACTTGCTTGTCTCCATTCAGGTATTTCCCATGTTAATAACCTATGATTTACGTAGATACATATTACATTACACACAAAGAGGCAAATATTTATATATCAAACAGGCAAGGGAATTGGAAATAAATACATGCAAAAACAGATATAAAAAAAAAAGCTCGGGATAATAAAAATAATAATAATAATGCATACAGAGACAAAGAAAGGTTTTCATTTAAATTTTCTTACTCAATATAAATATATTTATATTTTAATTTCTTTCTCTCTTGTCTGTTTTATATACATCTTTTATTTTATTTAGAACGAGGACTATTTGAAAAAAAAAATTAGAATAGAAAAAAATATTAATTATATTTATTTATATATATATATATATTATTAATATACTTACTCTTTTTGTAGAGCAGCTGTTGGATTAGTTAGAGCTAAATAGAAACAAAAAAAAATACCTTAATACAATCGATTCATACACTGAATGATTACTGATAATGTTATATATCAAATTAATAAATTCAAGTGCATAGAAAGTTAACCATTAGAAAATAATAATCATAAGAACTTGTCATATGATTTTGATCAATGAGGGTTTGTCTCGGATCATCCGTCCAATAGTAGTAATATACACCTACACTTGCGGTTAGGGTTTATAGAATGCGCACGAACTCTACATCAGGCCGGCTTTCTACAGCTAGAGAAGATACTGAACTAATGAATCTGTCACTAAACATTACCCTACATCATAATGCAGAAGTATTCTTCCTTTCTTCTTAAGGGAGCTCCCTCCCCAAAAAATGTCATTTTTGGTCGATTTTGTGATTTATAACTCGTTACATAGAGCTAAATGTCTACTTTCGAATGTACTATAGTTTATTGATTTTATGATGAGATTTAAGGATATTGCACAGGCTTTTCTGAACCTCTCATAGAAGAAAATAAGGTTTTTTCTCAAAATGGAATTTTTGATTTTTACTTTTCTGTACGTCCTAGATTTCTCCGCCATTTTAAACGCTAGAAAGCCGACCTTGGTGTCAAAATGAAGGCAAAAATTAGCTCTACAACTTAACAGAGTCGGATTTTTCGATTTCCTCATTAATGTTTATAAGAAACTAACTTTTCTAAACCTACTCCCATCGGCTTTTTCATATTTCATCAGAGAAATTTTCTAAAAACACAAGCCAGGAGAGAATCGAAAAATCGAGCTCTATTAAGTTATGGCACCACATATCGGCTACATTTTAAAACCAGTCCAAACTTTCTAGCATTCGAGATGGCGGAGAAATTTGGGATGCATGGAAATCTAAATTTTGACCCATAACCTTCTGCTAACTCTTCGTAGCTAAAATTTTTATTTTGAGCTGTCTAGCTTGAGATACACCTGCACTGAAAATTTCATCATGATTGGATGCTCAAAAAAGAGCGGGCTGGGGCTCTTAATAAAAATTTATCTCATAATTGGAATTGATTTGAGATTTGTGGTTAATACAGATGCATCAACATTATCAGAACATATTTTCAAGGATTATTATTGGAATTAGGACAGTGAGGCGGATCTAGAATTTTATAGAACATGTTTTGAAGGCTATTAGACTTGATATCGATTCATTTTTTGCTGACAAAAATAGGACAATATTTCTAAAGAGAAGAGCGATTGCTTCTCAGTGCTCTCTACTGATGTAAAATTATATATTCATAGGTCTTGACAGTAATATAGATAAGCATTGACATATCTTCAAAACCACAGATAAGAATTAGCGGTCAATCTGACTATCGCCCGAAAAAAAAAGAAAAACTTTGTAAGAGCATTTTTCTGAGTTTCGAATTAATTAAGATAAAATATAATAATAATTTTGAAAAAAGAACTCATATTTTATTCTATCAAAATATCTAGATTTGTAAACATTCTATTAGTCTTATATGATTTATTTTGGTTATTATGCTATATATCATCTAGAAGAATTCTCAAAAATTTACATAAAACAACATGGATGACTAGAAAAAATGCGAGAATAACTTTATTATGAATATGTAACTTAAGACTCGAATTTTTCTTTTTTTATACTTCCTTCATTCTATCCTTAAAAGAAGAAAAAAAAACACTTATCTTTAACAGCACTTCTTCTATTGCTTGACATAATGAGTCAACTTATATTCTTCTTAGAGAAATCTTATTGTAATTAAATTAGATATTTTAACAGTGATTTATTCGAGTAGAATACGATCAATAGTAAGAACATATTTCATATAAAAATCTTATCTATTATTAACAGTATTTAAAAAAATAAAATAATCTATCTTGAAGAATAACAAAAATTTAGTTATTATATATTTTTATAATTTGATCTTTTAGTTTTGTAAAAGAATCTAATTCAATTTATTCGTCAAGTACATCACTCAAGGTTATAATTATCCATGCTCATAAAAGATTTCACAATGATTTCTACTAAGGAATTTCATAGACGTAGATTACGATCATTTATAACCACATGGAGAGAAGAAACTGAGCTCGAATCCGAGATCAATCGACGGACACTTTCGATTCTACTATGTAGAAGCTGAAAATTATTTTAAAGTCTATTAATTGATTAGATCGATTATCTGATGATATATACCTATAATAAGATCCATCTGACGTTGAAGCACCTTGTTTACATTAGTGACCCATAATTCATATTGTTCATCATCTTTACATTGACACATAACTCGACGTGTATTACCAGCATCAACTTCGACTAATGTAAATTGAAATAATTCTTTATTACGTTTAAATTCTTTATGTTGTAATTTATTAATCTAAAAAAATAATCATAGAAAAATTTTGTTTTTTTTTTGTTTTTGATTTATTACTTTAAGTTCATATTTATAAGTATAATTTGGACTTGAATATTTATCTTTAGCTGGTATTTCATCACAAAATATCATTGATTGTTGAAATAAAAATACTCGTCGTTCTTTAAATTTTTTTTCAATATCTTTTGAATCTTTTGATGATATTGGATCACTAACAGATAACATATCTTGTAATTTAAGTTCACCTAATTGATGTACATTTGTTGGTAAATCTTTTATTCGACCAACATTCATCATATCATTAGCTTGTTGTGGTACTTCAATCATAACTTGTAAAGCACTACGTATAGCACGTGATTCATCACCCATACGTTCTGTTGATTTAAGAATTTCTTTTAATAATAATTGATAACGCATTATTCGTTGTACAGGTTTTATTAATAAATCAGATACAAGTAATTTTTGACCAAGTTTTTTACGAATTTCCTTAAATAAATAATACAAAAATTTAAGAAAATCTAAATTATATGAAAAAATGTTTTTATTGATTATGAACTTTTTAGATCAAAATTCTTGAATATGATAATTCAGTTAAACCTTAGAATACTTAACTATAATCTTAAGTTCGGGTTAGAACAACATTTTGTTTTTCTTTTAGTACTGATGACCCCGGACTGAGATTAAAATTAATCGCAGACATCTGTACTGTAGAGTTATAGATCTGCTCTCCCCCCCCCCCGCCTCCGTCCTTCCAATTCTGGTGACCTCGGGACATTCTGGTAGAAAAACAAGCCGATAAATCGATAGATAGAATTTCTTTAATTAGCTCTGGTCTTAACTATGATAATGATTTTTTCATTATTAAGAAAACAATTATTTCTCTATGAAAATATTTCTTATTTATTTATCATCAAAACAACTTTAAATATCGCATATGATTATGATTATACTAATTTCTGCACTGTAGGTATTCGAAGATAGTAAATATCTTGTTGTTTGCATTTAATGAATATATAACATATAAGAAAATAGTTCTTAAGTCAAGAGGCAGATCGTTTTCTTTTCTTTTTTCTATGTAGATCAAGGAAATCTACTGTTCACATCCTTTTAGACTATTTTCTATAAAATAAGATTGTTTAATATAATTTGAATGACTATAGTCATATGATTTTTTTATTTCTTTCGGCCAATAATAATTATAGTCATTGACTAAACGAGACCTAGATTGACACTGTTCGTGCTTATTTCTATTGATTTTAAATCATAAATTTTTTCCGGAAAAGGAAAAACCTCATATTTTTCAAGAGAATAATTACTCTTATGAAAATTGTTTTTTTTGTCTCGAGTGGAAATTCTTTATAATTGAAAAGATCATGACTTTTATTCTCATATTGTTATTCGGTTCGTTTTTTTTTCTCCTTTGTTCTAATACAAATAGCCATTTGTAATTACTAATTGTGTATATCTTTGTCTCGGGTTTTTTTTTTCTTTTTATCCAGATGCTCTTCAATTGTCTCGAGGGAATATTTTCTAGTTATGTTTTAGATCTTCGTATACATGTTAACAATACAAAAAAAAAAAAAGAAACTTACTTCAAAATAATCATGATATTCTGAAACAAGATATTCCGAACGTGGTTTATTTTCACAATATCTTACATAAGGACTAAATCGATTTGTCTATAATAAAAATCAAAATAAAGATATGTTTTTAGTTTTTTTTTTCTATTCATACAGTAAATAATCGACCAAGAGTATTGGGATTTTCGATGCATTGTTCAAGTTGTGGTAAAAAAGTACTTAAAAAAAAGAAGAGAAAAGAAAATAAATGGAAAAATATATTTTAAAACTTACTCTCGATGAAATTCATATATTCTTTGTACATTACCAAAAACAACACGTTCACGGCCTATAAGACCCGTTGGTTTTTTAATATCTTTATCATTTTCAATAACATTCATATAACCCTAAGAAATTATATTAAAACATTAGATAAAATTTTTTCTTTTTATTTTACCTCAACAATTAATGCTAAATCTTTGACATATTCTTTTTCTGTTTCAATTAATTCCATTATATTATGTCTAAAGAATAATAATAAAATGATTTCTATATATTAATAAAAAAAAATTGATTTAATCTACCTTCTTTTTGCACCATATTTAGTTCGAGCATCAACAACAGGTTCATCAGCTGTTGTTGTTGTTGTTAGAGATGATAGTGTTGTTTGATCAGCATCATTTAAAGATATTTCATCTGTTTGTTCACTTGGACTATCATTTGGAATCACAGTTATTGTTGATGATGATGGTAAACTAATCGTTGAAGTATCATCAGTAGTTGGTGTTGTTACTGACAAGGCAGTTGGGATTTGAAAATCGCTTGCTGTAAGACCAGAAACAATATTAATAGGTGCCTAAAATAAAATAAAATATTTGATTTAATTTTATATATTCATAATAAATCCTTACAACATGCTGAACAAGTCGAGCAATAACAGAATCATCTTCAATAGGACTTATCGATGTTAATGGAGGTGCACGAGTTTTACGTAAACGTGATGAAAGGTCACCACTATGACTTCTGGATGACTCCAGTGCAAGTGTATTGACCAATTTTCTTACAACTGTATTGATCTCCGTTCTAAATACTATTACTATTTAATGGCTTTTTCGCCTGTTAAAATGAAGATGCTTAAAAATAAAGTGCACACTGTATTACTGATAATGCTGTTGGCATTAGCACAACTATCGTCGTTGTCTTTCCATTAAACGAAAATGTCACAAAAGACGTCGACAGTAGACACAAGGCAGTAAAAAAAAGAGGAAGCGAGAAACGCAAAAAAAAAATTGAAGAAAAGAAAGAAGAAAAAAATAACACAGGCACTATCGACTGGTTCCGTTCTTGTTTGGCCTCGCACGACCGTCTAATATTATTACTGCGATTATTCAGCAACGAACGCTCCGTTGTCGTTTTCTACTACTTTTTGCCTAAACATTCTTCTATATATGCTAGTGTATATACATAGATGTTCGCTCGTGCGCGCGCTCGCTCTCTCTCTCTCTCTCTCGCTTGTTCCAATTGATGAAGTATCAGGAACAAGCAATGCAATTAGATGACGAGAGAAATTCTCGTTCGCACACTGAACCAATATGTGTTGTTATTATTATTCAACTTGATATAAGCAATTGTGTCTTTATCTATACTCTTAACGAAAATCATGATTAATGAAGCTAGAAATAAATGTGTGTTTATATTTGAACATTGATGATATAGAAACATGTAGATATATATATATATATCTCAGAAGAATTCTTTTTTTTTTTTTTTTTTTTTTATTCTCTGTTATTTTTTTCTTCTTATTAACGACACTATCCTGCTGTTGCCTTCTTTACATAAGTGTGTAATAGATGTGTCGAGATAACGTTTGCATTGCTTAGCACTACATTATACATATAAATAGTAGAAAGAATGAGAAACAGTAAAAGGCCAACTGCTCTTGTTGTTACTACTACTACTAATATAGCTTCAATTCTGTATGTCACTATTTTTTTTTTTGCTTGGCGTCACCTGATCTTCATATGAGAAAACGAAAAAAACAAAGAAAGGATTACTTACAGCTGGTAAAGAATCAATATTTGTATCAGTAGATGATGTATGTTGGAATTGAATATCGAATGATGATGGTGTTTCGATTATATCGTTTTCTAAATTATTCTTTTGGGAAATAATTGTCTTGACAGTTGATGGTGAAGAAGATGATTCAGTCATTTTATAAATATCATTTACATCACCATTACCAATTGATTTATTGACAGAATTCTAGGAGAAAGAAAATCAAATTAGAATATATTTATAAAGATTAAACATAAGACTAGAACAAATATTCAAATCCATTTGTTGTTTTGTACTTTGATAAGTCAATAAGTATGTTTTATCATCAAGAGAAAAAAATAACAACAACAACAACTTACATTCTCATGAATATTTTGTTTTTTTGACAATGATGATAATAATTTATATTTTTTCGTCCATGAAAGACTAGGCATTTTTTTTTTATTTTCTTCTCTCGTTATCTTTCAACTTCTATTCAATATATTATATAAATGATCATTGAAATGAAAGTGATGACGAACTACACATATGCTTATCGATATGATGAAGACAGTAGCTCGTAGCCATACGGAAGAACATGATGATAACGACGACGTAATAGATATACACATAACTATATGATTATATTATTCTATTTTTGCTCTCGTACTATGTTCATATATATATAAACACTTATATGAGTAAAGAATTGCATAATAGGATATAATAAGAAGAAGAAAAAAAAACCGAGAGTGCTATTTGAATACTAGTTTTACTAAATATACTAATCAACAGAGATATTATTGTTTGTTTTTTTTTTTTTTTTGAATAGTCTCATCGTTAGATAATGAAATCTGTAGTATTTAGAATTCTTTCTTTTTTTTTTTTTTTTTGTTGAATACAATATAATATAATTGCATGTTGATTAAAGTATCGAAACAAATGATAATATTACCGAATTATCAGGATATGATGTCATGTCGTCAGTATTTATAAATGTGAATGCCTTTGAAAAAAAAAATAAAATAAACAAACAAACATGAAGTAAAATAACAGTAAATTAATTATTTTTTTTTCTTATACCTTGACCTTTCTTGATGCTGTAGAGTTCGAAGATAATGGTTGTCTTTTATTAACAGATATACCATTACCACTACTTGTTGATGTAATCGATGTAGAAGTTGGTATTAAATCTTGTGCATCTGGTGTTTTAACATCTTTACTAGTACTAGTATCTTTTAAACTAAGACGTCGAACAGGATTTCTAAGAATTCGTCTGTAATCAAACCCAAAAAAAAAAAAAAGAAATTCAGAATTATATAATAGTAAGTTTTTGAAAATTTTATTTTTTTTTATTAATATATATTTACCTTAAACTAGATTTTCGTTTACCAAAATGAAATGTCGATGAAGAATTTCGTTGTTGGGATTCGTCTATATCGTTCGAAATACCATCTAAATTCAAACAAGAAGATATTAAATTTTGTATATTATGATTAGATTTTTAATAATTGACAAAAAAAAAAAACATCAAATCCAATAAAAATTTCATTTGTATAATGTAGAAAATCCATATTAAATAACTTATCATTTTATTATGCAGAAAGTCATATGTTCTATTGTATAAAATCATAAAGAAATAAGACAAAAGAAAATGT